CGTAGACAAGGAATTTATCTTATGATAAAGAAGATGGGGTGCATGGTACTACTAGCTAGGTTGGTTCTAAGAAGATAGCGTACAAAGTACAAACGGATGAAAAATGGGTAGGCATTTATACTGAGGCTTTGAACAAGTTGATTATTGCTTGTGAATATATCTGATCCAATATCTGTTGGATCATCAACTTTGAATCCAATCGCCATTACCTTTAAGGAGTACTGGGGAAGTAGCATCTATAGTGGTCATGTGCGAATCTTTAATTGAAGTTTCAAGGTTTTCTTGGAACGATAGTCCAAGATAAACATTACCATTCAGTAAGTGATAAAATCCTTGAGTATTACTAGCAGTTTATTATGTTAGTTATGAGTTTTCATTGTCACTATACCTATTAAAAAAAAAAGATGATGGAAGATGAATATATGCAAAGGCTTCGTGTTTGACTGGCTTTTCTTTTTCTTTTCAATCTTATGTGATATAGGTATTCATTGATTTGGTCAAAACTTTTGAGGAGAAACTATTATCTAAGTCCATGATAAAGTAGATAATAAGCGAAAGGATTAGTTGACTAAATTCTTATAATTTACAAAATATTTAAAAATAAAGTTTTGAATGTTAGACTAGACAAAAGGATGAGTAATAAGTGCATTTTTTTTCAGTTTATTAAGGAAAGTAGCATGTTTGAGTCTTATAAAATAAAGAAAATAGATGAGATGGGAATTTAATGCCTTAATAGCCTGTATAATAGTTTATATAACGTACAAGTATTTTATTTAAAGTGTTTTTTACTGTAAAAATATAATATATATATATATATATATATATATATAATGAAGTAATGTAAATGTTATTTTTGTTACAATTTTTAAGAATTTATAATATACATTTAGAAATTTGTATTAGGGTATGTTTTATACACTGTATATGTTTTATTAAATTAAAATAAGTTTTTGAATAAAGAATAAAAATATTATAATAAATATGATTAAGTTAAATAGATAATATTGTAAAAGTTATGAAAAAATAAAAAATAAATACTAAATATAAGAGAAATCACGTGGTGTAATTAAGAAGATAATGACTCTTGATTAAAAATATTTTCATTTAAAATAACTCCGTGTTATATAATATTTACTACTTTTTATTAGAAAATGATGTGATTTTCTTATCTAACCTCTAAAATTATCAATATAATGTACAATTTTAATATTTTATTTTTCTATTTCAAAATTATAGATTAAATATATTCATAATATTTTGAATATCTTATTTGACATTATTTGATTATTTGGCATGATGATAACTAACTTCTAACTAAAGCAGGTAATATATAATCTTATAGTAAATCTTAACCAATGCAGGCAAATTTTTTATTGATTTAGCATGGCTTCTTTTATTAAGTGAATCCAGCTCAAGTTCAAAAAAGAAAAAAGGAAGAATAAGAGTATGCCTAATTTTCCAAAAAAAAAAATTTTTTTATAAGTGTCAAGTAATGGATTAAACATATTTTTGAACGAAAATATAATGTATAGATCAAATGAAAATCATTAATCCATTTATAATTATAGTTCAATAAAAAAAGTAACAAAAAAATCAACAAATTTCAGTATATTTAATAAACATTTAGGTCTTTAATTTAAATATGTTGATCAAGGTTTGAATCCTGATCTTGTATATATATATATACACACACACACTTTATTAAGAGTGATAAGATAAAATTCATTTCATTAATTCCTCTGTCTCTGCTCTCCTACTGAAATATTCATTCTAATTGTTTTTGTCTTTATAAAATTCATTCTAATAATTTTTTTTCTCCTTTTAAAATTCCTTCTTAGTTCTTTCTATCTCTAAAATTTATATTATATCTAAAATTTTATTTATTTTTTAAAATTATTTTGGCTTGATTATATATTTTTTAATTTTAATTTGTAATTTTAATCTTTTATTTTTTTTAAAACTAATTCAGTACTCTATTTTAAAAGAAAAGGAAATTCAGTCTTGCCATCAAATTTTTCTACCAAAAGCCTACAAATTATAATTATTTTCATCTAATATTTGAAGATTTATGATAGATTTGAAAATGAAACAATTTGTAAGCAATAAACTTAGTAAAATTTAATGAATTATATAGGATGTAAGATTATTTTGACTGAAATTTAATATTTTAGTTGTTGAGTTTTGAATAGAAGAAAAATTAAAATAATTTGATCAATTCAATTTGAAGATTTTGAATAGAAAATAAAAAAATCCAAAGGTTACATGTAAAAAAAATTTGATGATAGAACTAGATTTGATTTTAAAATGGAAGAAAGGCTAAGAAGACATTTGTATATAGTCAAACTGAAAGTATTCAGAAGGGTAAAACTAGACCCTTCATTTATCATTAACAATGAACATTCCTTCTTCCTCCATGGCGGCAATAAGGTCTCTATGCTTCTAGAGTAACCATCATGGAAGACACACAACCTTTCCAAGCCAAGCACTGATGTCAATTTTCTTTTGTTTTTGAGGTCAAACTGTTGTAAATGTTGAACTGCACAGAGACATGATGGAGGAGAAACATAAAACCCATAAGCCCATTTTATTTTGTTTACTTTTTATTTGGGTTATAGGCCCATATTTCAAACGAGCCCATTATTTAATCTGAGGCAATCAATGCCCAAAGTAGTACCTAAAACTACAGAGACAATAAGCACTCTTGACTTCTAACATTAAGAAAAAACGTTTTTGACCAAAACTTGGACACAATACACATTATAGCAACATACTCTTGACCAAAAATAAAAGAAAGTAGCAACATACTCAAAATCCACGTGTCATTCAATACAACACCCTGGTATTGTTTCAGTTCCTGATTATTGAAAAGATTTTACATCACCAGAATACACAAAAAGATATCAAAACGGGACACGAAAACCTTAGAAAAGTTTCCATTAGATTATCTATTGGAGGAGAATTGCTCATCCAATCAAATTTACTGTCATGTGTTACATCATTTGCTTAACAATCAACCTGGCGTGGCTTGCAAGAAGGTTTGACTGTGACAAATTTAAGTACGTGCAATATCTACATTATAGGTAATTGACACTTCCTTGGCCTAGTTTAGCGAAAATTGAGTTGTTGAGAGTGATTTTATTGATAGCAATTTCAATTACCTTTTTCTATCGAGTATGTCTATTATTAAAAATGGACTCAGATAATTTTCAAAAGTTAGCTTACAGAAATAAGATTTTTTTAAGGGTGCGTTGGAGAGGTGTTATGAAAATTATTTAGGACTTTGACGGAGTGTGTTATACAAGTTTAAAATTTATTTAGGATCTTATAATATTTTTCAATAAGTTAGTAAAATTGTTTAGTGAAAAAAAAAATAAAGAGAACTTGTAATTTTTAAGAACTATATTATGAAAAGTTACTCCAAATAGCATTCAGTTTATTTAAAACAAGTTATTAATATTTTTTATTTTTATCTATAATCTTTTAAATAATTTACACTCACAAATAACTTTAACCTTCCTTTTTTTAGTCATTTAATATATTTTGGTTAGTTATACAGTTAATTTTATTAAACAACTCTAATTTAATTAATTAGTGCTTTAAAATTTTAATTAATTTTACCAAACAGAGTCATAATCTCTTTATGACTTATTTTAATAAACTTCTTAATATAACATCAAAATATTTTTTTTAACTTATTCAAAACATTTTATTATCGAATTTACGTCATAAGTCTTTATATAAAGTTGCTTATTCAAATGCACCACCTTTATAAAGAGTTATCTGATAACTATTTTAACTAAGATGAGATATCTCAACATTTTTCTTATAGTTTGACCAGGAATGGATGATTTCAAGTCGGAAGATCTGAAGAAATAGTACAGGTAAAAATTTAATGGAATGGAAGCATTTAATTGAAAAGAATACCTTGAAAGAGCTAGACAATTTCTCTTTTGCAAATAATTCATTTAAGGACACGTAAATCTCTTAAGTCAAACAGAACAGAAGAGGCCTTTTAAAACCACAAACCAAAATATATGCTTTTGATCAAATCCTTTTAAATTGTGCTCTTAAATTTTGACTCTTTTGGTATGACTTTAGAAGTTGAAGATCTAGATGCTACATGGGAGAGAAAATTCAGTAGTGTGATTTCAACTTTTCCAATGGGATGCATATCCACATGAACCACAAGAAGGAGAATTGTAAGACTCTTTGAAGAAATCAAAGAATCTGAAGTGGCCTCTAGAAAGCCTACTAAAAGTGCTAGTGGAAAAGGTTTGGACCTCCAAGATCACAAAAGATAGTATGAAAAACAGTTAAAAGTAGGTGGAATATATACACATCGATTATTGAATTTGGACCAAATTATGATTCTTTTTTTCTCATTCATATAATCAATGTCTTTTTATAAATAATTGATTTGCTTCTAAGTAAATCAGATATTAGTATAAGAGAAATTAGCACATAGCACAAGCAAGATGGGACAAGGAGATGAAGGTAGAAAGGTTTTAACATTGATTCACTTATAAACTGACAGAGATTAGCATATATGCAGAATCGTTCTATTCTTATCTCACAAAACATGGTTATACCATACTACCCCTCATGTATTTCAGATTTATGCTTGGTCAGAGCAAATTTCTGTATTTCAAAACATTTCTCTTTGGGGCATAGGGAGAGGTGAAAATACCGATATAAATAAATAGATAGATAAATACTGAACATTAACCAAGGGAGTATGATACTAGGCTTCCAAAAGAAACTTCATTAGTTTTAGTTTTTCAAGGAACATATAAAATGAATGTTCAGGCACATTAATTGCAACAAATGGCACAGCTGAGAAATTTGACTTAAGAAGTTTCAAAGAGAAAGGAAAAAATGGTTGAACTACAAGTGACCCACAATGCTACTACACGACGATGATTTGGAAACAAAAGTGAAAAAGCAGTCAACAGGGCATGGTGGTTGTGATGGATAAGTCAAACAGTCAACATGATGAAAACTTTTTACATATTAAAAGCAAGAGCAAAAAGTAGTGCATCATCCACATAGGTATTGTTGCAGTTGTATACAAGATACAAAATCATCTTAAGGATTCATATTAGACTTGCATGTCTAACAATCCAGGACCACAAGAAGAAAAGAATTTATAATGTAGCTCATACAACATAGAAATAACAGAAACTATACATTGCTTGCATAATTATGGTTCATGCCACACCTAAACCTCAGAACCTCTTGTGTTCAGCTTCCCGCTTGCTGCTTCACAAAATTCTCTCAAGGGTGAAGGAGAGAAGCAGAAGGCCTGGGATAAGCAGAAGCCTTTCTAGGAACATCGGCACTACCATTGCTGGGTGCAGCAGGGTGGCCACTGGAACGGCCGAGGCCATTATTGTGTGCATGATGCTGTTTATGATCACCACCTTTTTTCTGCATGTCCTTTGATTCCTGAAGCTGCTCCAATGCTCTTACCACCTCATCCATATTTGGCCTGCACTTAGGCTCTATAGCAAGACATTGCACAGCCAGCGCAGCTGCTGCTTGAGCTCGACTATGTGAATATTGACCTTCAAGACGTGGATCCATGACACGGAAAACTCTGCGTTTATTAGATAGGTAAGGCTTGGCCCATTCAACAAGGTTGTGCTCTCCAGTTGGCTGGTTCTTGTCTATCGCCCGTCTTCCTGATATCATTTCCAAAAGAACTACCCCAAAACTATATACATCGCTCTTGGCAGTGAGATGACCTAGTAAAACAAAAATTATTCAGTGATAAAAAATAATAGGTGATCCAGTTTTATTTGCTTCCCAAGTCTAGTAAATTCAAAAGTCAAAAGATGGCAGCAAACTTTGTAACTGACAATTGAAACATAATATTTTGTGAGGATAGAAAGATTGACAAATTTATCCAAAGAAAAGTAAGACAACCATGGTAATTCACATTCTGCAGAGCCATAATGATTCAAGGCACGCGCTAGAGTAAACGAAAGGGGTGCTTAGAACTCTATTGATAGAATAAGGTGTAAACACCACTTCAGAAATTAAGTAACTAGACTAAGAAAGTGGACATAAAACCTTTTAGTCAATCAACAAAAACACCATATTTTTATGAGGACGAAAACTAGTTCAGGAAACACAAAATCTTAGCTGGGAGAATAATTTGAAAAACACCAGAGATGATACCTGTTGCTAGATACTCTGGAGCTGCATATCCACGGGTTCCCATGACCCTAGTAGAGACATGGCTTTTATCACCAATTGGACCATCTCTGGCCAACCCAAAATCAGAAAGTTTGGCATTGTAGCTCTGCAAAGCAACATGCAACAAAGTATCACAGTAATCAACAACTAAATCAATCATATTTTCAACCATAACAGGGCATGCTAAAGTTGCAAATTATACATACAGTATCAAGCAGGATATTTGAAGTTTTAAAGTCACGGTATATGACTTTAGGTTCTGTACTATGGAGAAAAGCAAGGCCCTTTGCAGCCCCAAGGGCTATTTTCATCCTCAAATTCCAAGAGAATGGCTGAAAGTAAGAACCTCCTGTATTAATGATGATTTCAGACATTAGTACTAGAACATAGAGGATTAAAGTTTAACTTATTACTATCGAGGGGGAAAAAACTTCTATTAAGGGGTACTAAAAGGAAAAAGTACTTGTACAATCAAATAAAGTAGAAGATACTAACGTCTGAACAGATGATTTTCCATGCTACCCTTAGGCATGAATTCATAAACCAGAAGCCGATGCTCATCCTCAAAACAGTATCCTATTAACTTGACAAGGTTCGGATGCTGTAGTTGCCCAAGATAGTTGATTTCAGCCTGTGAATCAAATGATACAAAACAAGAAGAACATTAACTATTATGCAATCAGTTTTGTACATTGGTGGAACTTCAGTATCACAGTGTCAAGTCCATACAGTTCCACTGAAAATCCTCCAAACAGTTAAGACAGGGAAAATGAAAGTGTACCCAAAAATGCTTGCAGTTGCCAAGAATTTGTTTAATATACAATGAATTAAAATTTAAAGCCACAACAATACACATCAGACAGGAAACTGAATTAGTAGTATCCCGAGAAGAATTGATACTAACCAACCATTCTCTGTGACCCTGGAATCCATCTAGGTTAAGTCTCTTCACAGCAACAATCATGCCTATTCCTGGTTTGGTGGCAGCAAGTGAATGCTCATCAATCCAGCCCTTGAAAACTGAACCAAACCCACCCTCCCCCAAGACACTATCCGGGCGAAAATTTCTTGTGGCTGCCTTTAGCTCATTATAGCTGAAGCTTTTCAAGTTGGAAGATTGCAAGATCTCACCCTCACTCCGAGAAGTGACAGATATGGAAGCTGATGAGTTCCTGCTATTTGAACTGGTGTCATAGCCGCTCCTGCTGACACTTCTAGAAGTGAACCCTACATCATACCAAGAAAAACAAGTTCATAAAGACTCACTTCACTCGCCATCACTGGCCTTAAAACGAACAACATTAACAGAGTCTTCACTTTTTATGCCAAATTTACATGGAGTCCCACAAAACCCCTAAATTAACCTTATCTTGTCTCAACAAGAACTTTCCTCCGACTCAGATTACGGTTTCTTCCCAGAGGAATTATCTTGCAGAAAACCCCGTTTCTAATTACTTCGGAATGGGGTTACAAAAGGTGAACTTTTCATGGATTAGCGTTATTAGTAAAATTTAACTGGAAAATAATCAAAATAATTTTCAACCCCATTTTTCCTCCCATAACAAACTAACCCTGAGTGGGGTAGAAAAGCTTCAATCCACACGAAAGTTCTCTCAAATCTAACAATTCAATAATGGGTCTCTCAAATCAAACTCCTTTTTTCATGAGGCACAGATCACCATATCACAAAAACCACAGCAGCCTTATCTTGCAAGGATCTCAATGCTCAATCATGTATCAAATACACTGCACAACTACCCATAAAGTTAACAACTTTAAGCATTTCCCATGTTCATTTCCAACCCCAGAAGAAAAATTAACTCATTTAAACATTGACAAAGAAGAAAATGAAGATCCAAAAACATGCTAACCTGTGTTGGAAGGACTCACAGCCTTAATCCGAGTACTCCAACAAGCACCCATCAACAAAATTACCCCTATAACCAAATCAAAGATTAAGGTTTTTCAGATGCAAACAAACAAAGACTGAAACTTGAAAGGGTGAAAATGCAAATTTGCAAACATAGGGGAAAAGGGGGGTAACAAGCCACCCCAGAAAATGAAAGACCGTTGAACCCACCAGATCCTAGTGATTACGCACTCAGTAGCAGAGATTTCAGAACCTTTTATCTAACTTTTGATGATTTGGGGTTTGATGAGAAGGATCGTGGAAGGAAGAGTGAAAGGGTCAAAAGAGGAACTTCGATCACTTTGTTGTTGGAGGCTTTTAATAATGTTGGTAGCCTTTTTGGACCCTTTTGGCAAACCAGAGTAGAATAGAAGGTTGGTTGACTTCACTTTTTCACCACCTTCTTTTCCTTTTTGTCTTTTTTCCACCCAGCAAACATTAATGTAGGGAATATGTAATAAGGATTAATTATATATAAATAATATAATATATATATTATTGTATCAATAATTTTAAAGATTATTAATAAAATTTGTCAAAAAAATTATATGTTTTAGGTAATTTAGTCTTATAAATTTTGTGTAAGTATTAATTTAAAAATGACGGTTCATTTATCAGTCAGGCAGTCCTGTCTTTTTGTAAGACTTTTGTCGCCTCGAGTCATTTAATGTTTTTCTGTATTCTTTATAATCAATACATTTTTATTTTATCTATTTGTATTCAGTATAATAATAAGATTCCTATTTTGATATTCAATTTTATTTCAAATAATTTTTTTACTGTAAAAGTATAACGGATTTCAATTCATATATTCGTTATTATAATTTAACTTCTATAAGTCATCAATATAATATCAGTTATATTTGAGTTTTTAAAAATTAATATTATAAATTATTACAATTTTTTACTTTTTAAAGTTTTTTATATACACACAATTAAAACAATCCAAATATTAAAAAAAGATAATTTTAAATATCTATTATTAACGATACATGTAACAATTATTTATATGATAATCATTTAATTAGAAATAATTAGAAATGACTTGCAGAAGTACTAAAGAACCCATTTGGGAATAGATAATTACCTTTTCATTTCAACCTACTTTCATGTCCCATTGAATTTTCAATGCAAAACTAAAAGGCAATTCACATCTTTTTGTCAGAAGCATTGGTATTACTTATGAACGCTAAATATGCGCAATACCAACTACTCTCATTTGCTAGATTTTTGTTGGGTGATTATTTTGGTGCATTTCTTGTGAGGTTTTACCTTTCCAAAGCAAACAAAATAAAACAAACATTAACCATGCATATATCTTTCATAAGGTATTTGACATACTAGACAAAAACTATATGAGCATCTTCTTTATTTTTCAAAATATCTTTCATAAAAAATAACATTATTCGATACATGGTCAATTATTAATCGTAAACACTTCTTTTAATCAAGAGTCAAACTGTAATGCATCATTTTATAGGAGACTAACTCCTTCCATCAGACTCAATCAACATTAATAGATTAATATTCAATGATATAAGATATACTTTACAAAAGTTATTTAAAATTTATTTTTCTTACTTTTTGTGAGGTAAAATTAGTTGTAAAATTTCTATAATAAATCTTATACATTTAAATTATTCATTTTTTATATATTTAAATTTAAATGAAATTTAATTAGTTTGAATACTGAAAACTCCATTTATTAAAGTTACAGCTTTAAGAATACTTAATAATATTACATAAGTTATCTATGTATTTGAAAAAAAAACACCATTTTATCAAACTTAATTTTTTAAATAGAATTTTAATTTCTATATTTCTAATAATTTTAACATTTTAAATTTTTAAATTATTTTTAAACTTGCAATGTGTATATATACTTAGAAAATTCTTGAAACACTCACAAAAATAGGATCCAAGAATATAGTATGTGACCCGTGCCTTGACCGGCCGGCTTGGATACATATCATAAACTTACGTGTGCAAGTAAACAATAACTTTAGTAATGCTTGGTTTTGAATGATTTATTTGTGAAACGACACCGTTGAAACGTTCTTATTATATTACCACCTACTTAAATGTCACTTAAGTGTAATTCATTCGCGTGGTTCGTACGGATAAAAACTCTTATTGACGTTCATTATATTAAACTACTTTACTGTAAAATGTAAAAAACAAATACCCATTTTCAAGTCAAAATGACGTCAATAACATTATCACGTTAAAATGTGCAGATAACTTTTTTTGTGAACAAATATCTAATTGAGTGCTTGAAAATTTATTTTTAATTCTTTTAGAAAAACACCAAATAATTCCTTACAATTATAAAAATGACATATTTTACTTTTTTTATCTATTAAATGTAAGAATTAAAACGTCTCGTCTTTATCATTTCTAAAGATTACTTAGAATTTATAAGCTCAGCATCATTCAAAAATTATGACCTTTATTGTGTGGATATGATGACCCTTTTCCGAACTAGATTGAATGATAATGTCACGTGGGCGTGAATGTTGAGTGAAATATTCAAATAGGCACATGTGTGTTCCAGTTTTGATGATTAATCAGTCAAAGCGTAAGCCATGTTTAATTTAAAAAATAATTGTGACAAAGATTACTTAGAATCTGAGCAAGCAATTACGCAGTTTAGAAACCTGTTGACTACAGCTAGCCGTGTCGTATACACCAATCTCATGTGTATTTATACTCTAATATATATTTAATTTTGTAAGTGATTTCGTCAAATATTCCATTTATAGAATTTTATATCTCTTCTATTTTTTTTATCACATTATATTATGTGATAGGAACATTAATTTAATATTACAAATGTAGTAACAAATAATGTAATTGAATTATATTTTTTAATTTGTAAGAATATAAGAGAAATAAAAACAAATATTATAGGAACTAAATATAATAAAATAGAAAATAGATACTAAGTTGTTTAATATGAAAAACTTTCTTAACGTGATAGATAAAAAAATATGGATCATCTTGATCAAAGAAATAATTTTACTATGGTCAAATAAGGATACAAGAGAGTCACAAATAGATACACAAAATGTGCTTACAACTGGTTAATCAACCTACCCAACAATAAAGCTTACAAAATAAGAACTATGAAGATCAAAATAATAAAACAAAAAGAGCTATTTTGTAAACTTTATTAATCGCACCACAAATCTCGTTTCAATAGTTCAATCACTAAAAGAAAAATCATATTGTGAAACTTTTGTTAGATTTTCAATCCAATCCAATGTTAAAGACTTTGTAAAAGAAAAATTATTAACATTACTCTAAGGTTATGCAAAAATAACTTTCTCTCTTCTCTCACAATGGTAGTTGTTTTTTACCCAAAATGATTTCACACTCTTAACCTAAAGAATCATCTCCACTTTTATAAGTGAGACAAAGTGACATTGCTTATTTTTTGACCTTTCTTCACAAAGGTGGAAGCTTAGTACCTAACATATTTCCTTCTCACAACTATGTGGAGATGATCGCTAACCCAACAACCTCACAAAAAGTTTCAAACTTTTTCATCTTAGTAGTGTCTTAGTCATTATATTAACACCATTATTATCAGTATGAACTTTTTTCAATTCCAATAACATAGTATCTAGTATATCTCATATCTAATGATACATCACATCAATATATTTGGACCTAGAATGAAAAGTTAAATTTTTACCTAGATGAATAGTACTTTGACTATCACAAAATAGCAATTATTTGTCTTGAACAAAAACAAGCTTTTTTAAGAAATTCACCCAAAGCAACTTTTTGCATGCTTTTGTAATGACAACAAACTCTACCTTAGTAGTGGACAATGCTGTACACTTCAATAATTTAGATTGTAACAGCACGACTCCTGCAAACTTGATCAAGTAACTAGAAGTAAACTTTATAAAATCAATATCTCTAGCCATATCAAAATTAATATAGCTCATAAGGATATAATTATTACCTCTAAAACAAAGTCTCAAACAAGTAATACCACAAAGATACCTTAAAATTTATTTCACAGCATTCCAATGCTCTCTACTAAGATTTGACAGAAATCCACTAATTGTACAAACAACATGTGTTATATATGATTTTGTACACACCATTGCATACATAAAACTAATTTCTCATTTTATTTGAAGGACTTTGTTTGGAACTCAACATCATATGAGTTGTAAGAGGAGTACTCACAGCTTTAGTATTTTCTATTTAAAATCTCTGCAACATTGTTTTAATATTGTGTTCTTGTGATAATCAAAGCTTTTTTATTTCTCTATCACACATGATTCTTATACCAAGAATAAGCTTAGCAGTTATATATCTTTCATGGCAAATAACTTTCCTAATTACTTTTTCAACTTGTCAATCTTATGAACATTTTTTCCAACAATAAATATGTCATCAACATATAATAGCACAATAATAAAATCATCATTAAAAATTTTTTTAACAAAGACTTAATGGTCAAAAGTGTTCTGTACGAGAATATATATATATATATATATATATATATATATATATATATATATATATATATATTAGTGTGTAAAAACTGATTACTGGACAAGTGTACCAGTTGTCAGAGTAATATTATAAAAAATAGAGTACCAAGTATCGTATCCACATGGACTGTTATTAAAAATTATTTTCTTAATTACGTAATTATTAATGAATATGAGAAATAAATTTTTGTTGATAAAATTACTAAAAATAGAAGAATAATAAATTAAAAGGAACAAATTTCTTATGATAATAAATTATAGAAAAATACGACTAAAGGTATTCTAGGGGAAAATGTGAGTATATAGACTGTAGATCCTCCTAAGTGTCCAAATAACTAAAATTCTTCTTTAACTACTTAGTTCCAAACCCTTATCTCTGTAGAAAATTCTGAATTAAATACATTTCTCAAGAATAATGATTCATAACCCTCGGTTGATCAATCGAAATCTCTTCCTTAATTAATAACCCTAGGTTGTATTAAGTTCATTATGAATTCCATAATTAAAGTTAATCTTAATACAGAAAACTTACGTCTTTCTATATCTAGAAATACATTCAAGTCCTTTTAATTGAGCAATGTTAATTTCATGCAAGAATTTTACTCAAATTTAAACAAGAAAACAAGATGGAAGACAATTGATACTACTCAATTAAACCCAAGAGAAAAGAACATGAAATAACATTAGAAGAATTCCAGAAAATTTGGTCAATTAGGATTCATTACGTCTAGATACTCAAAGGAAAATTAGAACCTAAACATCTTGAAACTAAAATTATAAAAAAGATGAATAGAAGTACTTGATTCC